GGTTAAGTTCCCACATCTGTGGCTTTTTAAATTACAATTAGTGTCTGTGTGTAAATAGTTAATGAGTTTGTTAGCTGTCATGTGAATGCACTGTGCAGGCTAGATACTGAGCCATGGGGAGCAGAAAAGAACTGTAAAAAGACCTACGTAACAAGGTAATGGAACTTTATAAAAATGATAAAGGATATAAAAAGATATTCAAAGCCTTGAATATGCCCGTCAGTATTGTGCAATCACTTATTAAAAAGTGGAAAATTCAGGGATCTCTACCAAGCCAAGGTTTAGTAGACCAAGAAAGTTTGCTGCCACGACTGCCAGAAGAATTGTTTGGGATAGAAAGAGAAACCCACAGGTAACCTCAGATGAAATACAGGATGCCCTGAAATAAGACTGTATGGTTGTTTCAAGGAGCACAATATGACGAACAAAAATGAGCTGCATGGTCAAGTTGCCAGAAAGAAGCCTGTGCTGCGCCGACGCCACAAAAAAGCCCGTAATCTGGAGTGAAAAGACTAACACAGGCATATTAAAGAATATTACAGAGTGAGACTTTTTTTTGCATGGATATAATAATTTTTAAATATGATGCACAATTATGGTAAACTTTTACTTTTAAATTTTAATTGTTTTGCCTTCCCTGCACAGAGCCCAAAAGTGGAATTTTTAAAAAATAATAAACGTCATACTTACCTGCTCTCTGCAATGACTTTGCACAGAGCAGCCCTGATCTTCCTCTTCTGGGGTACCCTGTGGGTGCTTCTGGTTCCTCCTTCCTTCAGGGTGCCCCCATAGCAAGCCACTTTTCTGTGGGTACTCGTGGGGGCTCAAACCCTAGCCAGACTCTCTGTTTTTGTTGACGACACACAGTGAAGCTTGGCCTTGCCCCCTGCTCCCTTCCCACAGGCTGTGATTGACTGCAGCATCTGAGTTCTGTGAGGAATGAGAGGGCGCAGCACCGGATCGGGTGGTGGTGGGGGAAGGAGTGGTCTGGTCACATATTTTTTTTTACCTTAATGCAGAGAATACATTACGGTAAAAAAAACCTTCTAAAGTTCAGAATCACTTTAACCAGTTCCCACCCGGCTTATAGTAAATTGATGGCTGAGTGGGACTTTTGTCGATCGGAGGGTGGACATCATATGACGTCCTCCCAGATCGCTGCCTCTCGCACACCCGTGGGGCTGCACTGCGACAAGATCTGTCACTGGCTGTGTCCATTAGACGCAGCCAATGACTGATTTGTGTACTGGCCTTTTGCCAGTACCATGTGAGCGCTGTGACCAATCACAGCAGGTCACATGACAATTGTACACAATGGATGGCTTCCTTTCATGCCATCCATTGTATACAATTGTGTTGCTAGCTGTGATTGGTCACAGTGATCACATGGTACAGACTAGGCCAATCACAGCACATCTGTGTCATGTGATTAGCTGTGGCCAATCACAGCTAATCACAACAAAACAAACTGAATGTATTTCATTCAGTTAGATGCTTGCTATAAGCAATCATAATGTGTAAAAAAAAAAATACTGAACACTTACACAGAGTAGTATAATGTTAATATGGTAACATTATACTACTCTGGTCACAGTGTGTCATAAAAAAAAGAAAATATATTTTGAAAAAAAAAAAAATATATATATATTTTTTTTTTGTACTCCTCACCAGTCTGTGTCTCTGATCACCGCCACACCAATTATATGGTGACGCTGTACTGCACTGGTGACAGTATGAAAAAAAAAAATGAGATTTTTTTTTTTTTAATTTCCCAAAACGATTTGCCTTGCCTCTTACTAAATACGCCAGACTGTCTACTTTCCAAAAAGGGGTAATTTGGGGGGATATCTGAACTGTCCTGCCATTTTTGGGCTTCAGGAAATGATAGGCTGTCGGTACAACAGGATTAATCGATTTTCAGATATATACTATAGTTTGTGGACTCTATAACTTTCCTACAAGCTAAATAATACACTGCTCAAAAAAAATTAAAGGAACACTTTTTAATTAGAGTATAGCATCAAGTCAATTAAACTCCTGGGATATCGATTTGGTTGATTAAGTAGCAGAGGGGGTTGTTAGTTTCAGCTGCTTTGGTGTTAATTAACAACAGGTGCACTATATGGGCAACAATGAGTCGATCCCCAAAACAGGAATGGTTTTACAGGTGGAGGCCACTGACATTTTTTTCCCTACTGATCTTTTCTGACTGTTTTTCACTAGTTTTAGATTTGGCTACGGTCAGTGTCACTACTGGTAGCATGAGGCGATACCTGGACCCTACAGAGGTTGCACAGGCAGTCCAGCTCCTCCGCATGGCACATCAATACGTGCCATTGCCAGGTTTCCCAGCACAGTCTGAAGAGCATGGATGAGATTCCAGGAGACAGGGAGCTACTCTAGGAGAGCTGGAGAGGGCCGTAGAAGGTCCTTAGCCCATCAGCAGGACTGGTATCTGCTACTTTGTGCTAGGAGGAACAGGATGAGCACTGTTCCTCCCTACAAAATGACCTCCAGCAGGCCACTGGTGTGAACGTCTCTGACCAAACAATCAGAAACCAACTTCATGAGGGTGGCCTGAGGGCCCGACGTCCTCTAGTGGGCCCTGTGCTCACTGCCCGGTACCATTGAGCCCGATTGGCAGTTGCCATTGAACACCAGAATTAGCAGGTCCGCCACTGGCGTCCTGTGCTTTTCACAGATGAGCGCAGGATCACCCTGAGCACATGTGACAGACGTAAAAGGGTCTGGAGAAGCCATGGAGGATGTTATGCTGCCTGTAACATTGTTCAGCATGACCGTTTTGGTGGTGGGTCAGTGATGGTCTGGGGAGACATATCCATGGAGGGACGCACAGACCTCTACAGGCTAGACAATGACACCCTGACTGCCATTAGGTATTGGGATGAAATCCTTGGACCCATTGTCAGACCCTACGCTGGTGCAGTGGGTCCTGGGTTCCTCCTGTTGCCTGGCCTCATGTGGCAAGGGTATGCAGGCAGTTCCTGGAGAATGAAGGGATGGATGCCATTGAATGGCCCCCCCACTTGCCGGACTTAAATCCAATAGAACCGCCACCAGGTTGCACTTCAGACTGTTCAGGAAGCTCGGTGATGCCCTGGTCCAGATCTGGGAGGAAATACCCCAGGACACCATCCATCATCACATTGGGAGCATGCCCTGACATTGTGAGGCATGCATACAAGCACGTGGGGGCCATAAAAACTATTGAGTACCATTTTGAGTTGCTGCAATGAAATTTCTGCAAAATGGACTAGCCTGCTGCATCATTTTTTCACTTTGATTTTCAGGGTGTCTTTGAATTCAGTTACCCAGTACCTATCAGTATAGATATCCAGCATGATATTTTTCTCCATTGAGATCTGATGTGTTTTCAAAGTGTTCCTTTTATTCTTTGAGCAGTGTATATACTGATTCGGGTTATTTTCACCAGAGAAATTTAGCAGTATATATTTTGGCCTAAATGTATAAAGAACAATTATTTGCTAAATTTTCAGTCTTTTTTCATTTATTTAGCAAAAAATAAAAAACCCAGTGGTGATCACAAGTTAATGATCGCTGATAATACTGTAGATGATGTACCTGTCTGAGTCATAAAATGTAATTATTTTGTAATTTTTTTCATTATAAAAGTAAAAGAGGGCAACATGAAATTAGTGCGATATTTGACACTGTTTTTGATAAACGAACCTATTTTGTCTTCAAGACATTCCTTGATACGCCTCAAATTTATCAGCATGTTTTTGCATATGGTGCCTTTTCAAATTGCAGTCTTTGAAAACTGCCACAAATTCCCTACAAAATAAGCAGAGTACTTTAGTATTTGCCTTTACAATAAGTAGCTATCTGTCCAATTTACCTTGAATAATCTTCCTTCAACCCCAACTTTTTTTTTTTATTTTTTTAGTTCTGTTACAACAATGTGGAAGACATACTAGAATTAAAAAAAATAAACATAGGTAAAGGAATCGGATTTCATCCATGTGCTGTGCATTCAGACTGTGTACACGGCCAGGTACAGTGCCAGAGGTGGGGGGGGGGGGGTGTTGTTGGGGGACTTCGGATGGGGTGCAACTTAAATCTGGGGGGAGCGCAACCCACTTCAGCTCTCCCTCAGATCCAGCAATGCAGCACTTACTTGCCTGGCACTAGTGGACGACCCTGTATGCATCACTGGTGCTATGCCAAACACTGCATCCCTCCAAACATGCCCAGCTTGTCCATGCCAGCCACTGCCGTGAGTGCTGTGCCAAACATGGCATCCCTTCAGACATACACAGGCTGCATTCATAGTCATAAGTTTACAATTTTGTGTTGGGCCACATGCATAGCCCTCTTGATCAGGAGTGTCCAACCTGCTCCTCAAAATAATAGGGTTCCTCCCTTCCTTTTTCAGGCACACTCTACCAAATCTGTAAGTGATTCATGGGCCTTTCAGCATCAGCCATGCCCCAATAATCTTTGATCTTTTCCATGTTGTTCAGGTGGATTTCTACCTCTCAAAGGTTGCCTACCCCTGTTTTAAGTAGGTAAATCCAGCAGCTTGATCCCCCTAGATATGCTTATAATTCACATAAGCAACCATTTGCTTTGAACTGCTATAAGATAGTGTTTCTAAACTCCCATCTTACAGGATCCCCCAAAAAATCATAATTTTAAGGCTGTTTATAAACCTGTGTGAATCTAAGGACATTCTGAATGCAATTAAGAATTAGTAAAGACTTGTATTCTGAAACATTGATGTAGAATCCACTAGAAAGAGTTTTTTAGTTGTAATCCAAGTCAATAGGAAAGTTGAGAATCACAGACTTCTACCCACATGACCCACACTAGACAGTGAATTATAATACCAAGGTACATTTAGATTTATGGCTTTGTACTAACATTTGTCTGTATCATAACTGTTAATTTGCAGCTTCTGTCTCTCAGATGTTAGCTGATGATTTTTACATACCTATAAATATTCTTTTATCTTGTAGCTACAACAAACTTGACTCAACCAAGCCCATGGCATTCAGCTGCAATGGAGGATTTTACAGCTTTTCAGAGGAAATGGTTTGAGGTGGCACTGGTGGAAGAAGAACTACTCCATTCTGAAATCCCACCATTTCTCCTGCCTTGGTTACCCAGTCGGCCAGCCTCTTATGCAAGTAGGCACAGTTCTTTCAGCCGCAGCTTCGGAGGAAGGAGCCAGGCCGCAGCGCTGCTAGGTAGCTGCCCGCAAAGGGCAGAGGAGCTGATGGAATGCCATGTCCAAGAGAATGATCTCCCATGGACTATCCATGGCTTTCATGGTTCATCCAGCCCATGATTTGAATTATTCACAACATCCCCTCAAATGCTGTGATTTCTGCAGATATTTCTACTACATCAAGGCCAAAGCCCAGCTCCTAAGAACACATGGCAAGCCTTATTTTCTGAAGCAGCAGCAGCTACTATTTAATAATTTTGACAACCATTTTAAAATCATACATGCGTTACATTTTGTAAATAGCCTGAACACAAGCTAGTGATGCTGGTACTGTATCTATATGCCAGTATAAAACTAAAGCATCATTTTTACTGTTCTATCTGTCTGAAACTCTCATTTTAATAGCGTTTTCTGCTGTTCTCCAACATGTAATGGGAATCTGATAATGCTGAGTCATGTCACATCAGTATTAATTCTTCATATTCTACTTTAACCACCCAAATAAAGGTAACATAGCTAAAGGCTACACCTTTGCTGCGTCCATGTGACATCATTGGTTCCTCTCTTGACCTTGTGGCTGTAATCTCATTTCCAGCAGCTCCTCCCCTGACGGGTACCACGTAACTTGCATGCCAGGCATCTATCTGTTCAGAGCCATGGAACAGGCTCTATCATCACAACCTTATCCTCTTATTTCCTGGGTGTTTTCACATTTTGTGGGAACAATGAGATCATTGAAATGTCTTTTTATATCCTGTGACATATTTCATTTTGATCACTGGTCATTCATTGATTGTTTTCCATTTCACACTCTTGCTTGGTTGCATGCTTTTGTATGTAGGCTGCATGTAGCATTCTTCAGCTTATTGTTATATTGTGAGTCTGAATCTCTCTAACTGTAAACTTTATTTTCCATGCATGAGTCTGTTGACTTTTTTTCATATTTTATCAGTTGGTTATCTTCCTTCTTGTTGGATATTCTTCCTTTTTAGTTTCTCCCAGTTGTAATATATTTTCTTTTTTTTCTTACGTGACCTTGATTTTCATAGCTGCCACTGTCCCAGAGCAGAGAACAGTAACCTTAGATGTGGATGTTAATAACCGCACGGATAGACTGGAATGGTGCAGCTGCTATTACCATGGAAACTTCTCTCTAACAGCTGCATTTGAGATCAAACTGCACTGGATGGCGGTGACTGCTGCAGTACTTTTTGAAATGGTGAGGGCTTTGTGTTTATCTTGTTGTTGTCCTTGTAATTTATCAGTTTGTTTTATTTTTTTTTTTTTCAGTTCTCTTGGAATTTTGGATCATTGTAGCATTTACTTCAAGACGATTCTTGCTTTTTCTTTCTTTAGGTTCAGGGTTGGCATAGGAAAGCAAACTCCTGTGGTTTTCTACTTGTGCCTGTTTTGGAGGGTCCATTCGCATTGCCGAGCTACCTATATGGAGACCCCCTGCGTGCTCAGCTCTTCATTCCCCTTAATATTACCAGCCTAGTAAAGGCTGAGAGTGATCATCTATTTGAAGGTGTGTAACAAGCAAATAACTTTAAGTTAGGCATGCTCGTCTACTTTACACATAGCTACATAGTTAGTCAGGCTGAAAAAAGACAAAAGTCCATGCAGTTCAACCATTAATGGAAAAAAAAAAAAATTATCCTATACCCATGGTTAATCCAGGGGAAGGCACATAAACCCAGCAAAGCATGATCCAATTTTCTCCTGCAAGGGAAAACATTCCTTCCTGATCCCCCAAGAGGCAATGGGATATTCCCTGGATCAACTTTACTTATAAAAATGTTAGTATCCAGTTATATTCTGTGTATCTAAGAACAATCCAGGCCTTTTTTAAAGAAATCCACTGAGCTGGCCAGAACCAACTCTTGAGGGAGTCAATTCCACATTTTCACAGCTCTCACTGTGAAGAAACCTTTCCGTGTTTGGAGATTAAATTTCTTTTCCTCCAGACGTAAAGAGTGCCTCCTTGTCCTCTGTGATGACCTCAGGGTGAATAGCTTTACACCGAGTTCACTATATGAACCACTGATGTATTTATACATGTTGATCATATCCCCCCTTAATCTCCTCTACTCAAGAATACATTCAGTTCCTCTAATCTTTCCTCATAGCTGATTTCCTCCATGCCTCTTATCAGTTTGGTTGCCCTTCTTTGTACTTTCTCCAGTTCCCCAATGTTCTTTTTGTGAATCAGTGCCCAAAAGTGAACTGCATTTTCCAGATGAGGTCTTACTAATGATTTGTACAGGGGTAATATGATATCTCTCTCTCTCTCTCTGGAGTCTATACCTCTTTTATTACAAGAGAGGATTTTGCTCGCTGTAGAAACCGCAGCATCATCTGAAAAAAAAAAATAACCCTTTACTGCATGTTCGTGCTTATTCTGCACATTTGTGCAATAAAATTTAAAGTGCTTAGTAGCGTGTACGTACTATGCAAATCTCTATGTTCCAGGCCCCACCATTTCCCAGAAGGCCCAAGAGCCTGTGCAGCCTTTTTCCTAGGATTGGCTGCTGCATGGCAAAATCATCAGGTGTTATTTTGATGAAAGCTGCAGATGTAAAAATATTGAAAACGACTTTTGTAATAACATTAACATGTTAAAGGTTATATGATGTTTTAGTGATTGAGCGGATGCATACCTTAACTTTTTTGTATAAACTCATACAAAGGAAACAAAACAAGAATGCCTTAAGAGTTGCTACAGACCGTAATTTATGGGATTATTGTTTCAGGTTTTGAGCCAGAGACCTATTGGGACAGAATGCACTTGTTGCAGGAAGTGATTGCATATCGGTAACATTCTTCCAGAAAACAATATTTTTTTTTGTTTGCCATTTGTAACTTATTTTTCTTGAACTTCCTTTTTTATTCTCCTTCCATATAGGTTCGGTTTCATTCAGGACAAATATTCTGCATCTGCCTTCAACTTCCCATCAGAAAATAAACCTCAATATATACATGTGACAGGTAAATTTAGATACTGCAAAGACAAAAACATGTTCATCCTTTTTTTTTTCTTCATTCTTTTCCCTGGTTGTCCTACACCTAATAACTAATATCTGGATTCTTACGATTTTTACGTTTTTATGCAGGTACTGTATTTTTTACAGCTGCCATATTCAAAGCGGAAATATACCTCAGGTCAGCAGAGACGGAGAAGAAATTCCACCAGTTCATCAACTCAGAGTCTGTTTGGTGAAGAAAAGATAGGTTACAATTGGGCCTATAATACTATGCTGACCAAAACCTGGCGGTCCAGTGGCACAGGAGATGAGCGATTTGCTGATCGTTTGCTCAAGGATTTTACAGACTTTTGTGCTAATCGTGATAACAGACTTGCTAACTTTTGGGCCAGCTGTCTGGAGAAGATGAACACAAGTGAACCCTAAACTTTTCTGCTGCAGAGGTCACTGATGACTGGCTTAAGGTGATGTGCAAATCTGCTTTTGATTCTGTTTCCTCCCTAAACCTCTATGAGGACCAAATGCCTGCATCAGCTGCTTCTTCTTGCTCCTGGACACAATTTGAACTGATCTTAGAAGGGTAAATCTGGTTGTTCCCCTATGGGGAAGGAAGACTTTCAAAAGCAATAAGCTTCATTTATGTTGGCTTATTTAATAACATGGTGCAAAGTACAGTGAGTTAAAGCAACCAATCTGAAACCATTCAAGCCAGATCACTTAAAGTACGGCTATCGCAAATGTTTTTGTTTATATTATGTGTGCCTAACACATTAAAGAGTATACACTATATGTATTTTAAGTACCTTCATTTATAGTTGTAGCTGGATATCTGTGTTGGTTTTGCTGGGAGATATATGTAACAGCAATGTGGGCTTACATTCCATTTACTAGTGTGCTAGCTCACCTTTTAAAGCTGCTAGTTTGCTTCTCAACTTTGGAAAAAGAAACAACAAAACCACTATTTAAAATGGTTTGATGATTGCTTTGCACTATCTCCAAAATGGTTAAAAGCTTTTAGTTTATTATTGTATAGAAATACAAGCAGACTGGATAACTAATGTACATCACTGCCATTGATAAAATTAGGGCTCATAAGAGATCGTAAAAGGGAGCCAGGTGGTGTTGCATAAAAAGTCACATTTAATAAATGCTGCAATATGAGGTACATTTTTTGTCCAAGATCACAAGGAGGTCTAGCTTGAAAATGGTACATTCGGCTTCAGTCAATTTTGACCTGCAGTTGACTGCATTCTAAGCTGCATCAACCATTTTTTGAGCTGCTTTTGTATTCCCATTGACTTATGTGTAAAAAAATGTAGTTCTGAAGTATAAAAAAGCCTGTGTATACAGCTCCCACAGGTAGGCCTGCAGACTGGTTGTTAGCGTAGCCCAAGCCCTCATCTCCATCTAGTCAACACAGATAACTAGTAATAACTAAAATAAAAGGTATTTGAAAAAATACATACATTGGATTGTGTATTTTGAGTTTATAAACCACTCAGCATTTTAATATTAATATTATTATTCTTTAAAGTGAAACTGTACTGTATTTTCAGTGAACAGCTATTTTGAATTACTATTGCAGTACTTGCCCTAAATTATGTTTTACGACTTTTACAGTTTTACATTGTTGCATTTCTATATTTTTGTTACTGTATTAAATATAGAGATATAAAGTTTAGCCACTGGAGGAAGCTCTGTGTGGGTCAGTGCAAATGCTTACCTTCCTGATTTTTGATCCTTACACACATTAAGGTTTGGCCTGATTCGGCTATATGTATTTTCCTGGGCAATCACTATGTGGGGTTGCCTGCCCCCTGACAGGCAGGCTACCCTGTAGCACTCACCCTTCCCTCTCCATTGGCACAAACATGACCCATGTGAACTTGAGAGTTTATACAATGATCATTTGGCTACTGGATCATGCAGTTATCAACTGTCTGTAGGCACTTTAACAATTGTAGATATAATGCCATATGAGAAGTACATTTTCATTAGGTAAGTCATAGACTTTATTATCAAAAGGAGCAGTAAAGCACATTCACTATGTAGTTTTACAAAGTAGGAGGCAGAACCTGCATATGTAATGATTGACTGAATATGGCTGCTTCTGTGTGCACAATTATTAGGCAAATGAGTATTTTTGACCAAATCATCATTTTTATGCATATTGTTCAAATGCAAGCTGTATAAATATGAATGCTTATTGGACGTAAGCATATCAGGTGGTGTGTATTTGTAATGATGGAGGGTGTGGCCTAAGGAGATTAACAACCTATATCAAGGTGTGCTTAATTATTAGACAGCTTCTTTTCCTCAGGCTAAATGGGCCAAAAAAGAGATTTAACTGACTCTGAAATATCAAAAATTGTAAAACGTCTTTCAGAGGGATGTAGCACTCTTTGCTAAGATATTGTGGCATGATCACAGAACCATCAAATGCTTTGTTGCAAATGGTCAACAGGGTTGCAAAAAACAAACTTAAAGCTACCAGGAACCCATTATCCTCTAGTGCTGACATATTTCAGAACTGCAACCTATCTGGAGTGCCCAGAAGTACAAGGTGTCCAGTGCTCAGAGACATGGCCAAGGTAAGGGAGGCTGAAACCCGACCACCACTGAACAAGACACATACTGTAAGTTGAAACGTCACGACTGGGCAAGAAATATCTGAAGACAGATTTTTCATGTTCAGTAAATTTTTATTGGAAAAAAATTTGATTTTAGAGGATACAATTGCAAACGCTATTATGTTTACAGGCAAATTAGTATATCAAGAGCCAACAAATCAAAAGCGGTTGTGCACAGAATCACCAAACTGTAACCAGTGACAAAGGAAATGGTATGTCAAGAATTACATTGACCACATTATGTCGATGGATCAGCATGTGGAACAGATGAGGATCCATACACCTAATGTCCAATATCAGGCATTGGTGAGACGTATATTAGTATATAAAATACACGGAGTATATAATTGAACCAAGGAATACATAGGAAAAACCACAAATCGTCCCTGTGGGAGAGCCTATAGAAAAAAAAAGGAGGATGCAAAAGGATGTCAAAAGCACTCAAACACGGGTTATGGAGCCTCTGTAATTATAGTAATGTAAAACTGCCTATTGATATAGAAGGATGGGCATGTTGGATCCAAGGAGTCCAAGTTTTAAGAAATCTCTTATTAGTGTCTGAAAGAATGCTGGAGAGCTTTTCATTAATAAGGAAAAAGTCTAGTTGGCAGTGAACTACTGTAAAAGGTGTGAACTGTTGTTTCCAAGCTTTCACTATGGTTTGTTTTGCTGCCAATAGTACATGTGTAGCCAGCTTAGATTGGTATTTAGTGAGGCTCAGGATTTTCAGGTGGAGAAGGACATGCCATTGGTAAGGGACAGGCTAATAATGAATGTAGGAGTTTAAAGACCTTTGTTCAGAACCGAGAGAGCATAGGGCATGTCCACCATATGTGTAAGACGTCTCCCGGGGTTGCGCATCCTCGGAAACAGGTACTAGGAGTAGATGGCTGAAGGTGCGCCAGACGGGACAGGACTGTTTTGGACTCGGTCACTTACAGACCATTTACCGTGATCTACCAGTGAGCCAAATTAATATAGAATTACGTGCACGTGGAAGAAAGACACTGACACTGTTGCAGTATGTCAACTTCCTAAAATTCTGTTTTATTGAGGAACTAACAGTATCATTTATAGGGCTTATGATGCAGGCAAAGCATATACATTGATTGGGTGAAAAGTCCACTGGGTTTCTGCGTGTTCTTCCATCCGTGTTGATATCTTCCAATCATTTTCCCCAAAAAGACTCATTCCCTTTTATGGGGGTTGTTTACATTAAAAGATACTTTTCTCCTAATGAGTCACCTAGGGTGAGACTCCGGATGAAAGCGCCATCTTAATTATCATCATTGTTCTGTCAACCTATATCTGATTGTTTACTTAAGAGAGTAAGGAATTTTAAAGAGCAAGAAGCAGAAAGTAGCAAGACTATAAAATTGTCATTTTACTGATCATCTAATAAAACGTGGACTGTCTATCACAATCCACTACAGGACCAGGTACCACCTGATAAAAGTTATAAAATCAGATTCGATAGTAAGAATATTGATGGAACAGGCAGTAAATATTGTCCATATTTGTGCCCAGCAAACCATGTCTTTAAGGTCCTTTTCCCACCTGGAAACATAAGAGTGATTTTTGGGATAGTGAAGGTTATTCAACTGTGAATAAAGGATAGATAATCAGTTTTAGGGAAAAAAGGGCGTCCGTTGACAAATGTGTTCAAACAACGACAGCTGGGTCGTCGGATCTTTGTCAACAAGCATCAAAGTCACCCAATGTTTGATTTGTAAGAATCGGAAGAGTTCAGTGTGAGGGGCTTCATATTTGTCCCTTATTTCTGCCCAGGTGTAGATAGAACGGCCAGTGAGGAATGCGTGGACACAATGAAGTTTGTGGGAAATCCACCAGTGGAAGGCGCTAGGTAACTCAAGGCCAGGAAGAAACGGGTTTGCCCAAGAGGGGAATAAGTGGTAGATGAGGGGAGATTATATTTGCAGCGAATGAGCCATTAGGGGGCTAATGTTGAGGGCCTAGATCTTGGAGGAAGCCATAAAAGTGAGCAGGGGGGAACCAGAAGGCAAAAGAGCACTTCCAAGGTGACCCATGTAGCGGCTTGCTGTGCAGCGTATCTGAATTCTGTTATGGGCTGGTATTATTACAGTAATAATACCAGCTCATACCAGTACCCCACCTCCACCTTGCTGGTGTTTGAGTCAAAGTGGAGAACTGCGCCGTTACTGATCCAGCCACAGGCCCATTCATCTGGTCCATTAGAGTCACTCTCATCTCATCAGTCCATAAAACCTTTAAAAAATCTGTCTCAGATATTTCTCGGTCCAGTCGTAACATTTCAACTTATGTGTCTTGTTCAGTGGTGGCCGGGTTTCAGCCTTCCTTACCTTGGCCATGTCTCTGAACACTGAACACCTTGCACTTCTGGGCACTCCAAGTTGGTAGCAGCTCCAGGGGAGAGGAGGGAGCACTAATATTGGCTGGGCCAAAGAAGCCTATGGGTGACGTCACTGCTTCAGGCTTTACAAGCCATTGTTGAGTGCTCTCCTCTCCCCTGTAGCCATTGCTGCCAGACACGGCAGATCACTTGACTGGACCAGAAAATAGGTAAGTATATACATCTTTCCCACATAGGTTAGGTAGCATAGGTGTTAGGAGAGGTAGGGAGCATTTTTAAGACTAGTAAGAATTATCCCGGAATTCTAATCATACAGTGCAGAACACAGGCTGGATATTCATAGACCCTAAGCTATAGGCTGCTGCCTTTTAGGTGACTGGACATCGGCAAAGGCTTTACTTAGCAAGCCCCCTGGGAGTACACTTATAACCCCATCCCACTCC